CTACCGTCTTGGATTTCTCCTTGAGTCGCTGCTCGTGTATTTGTAGAGAGCCCATCAACTCATCAACTGTCAAAATAGAGAGATCCCGAGACTCTTCAATGGAAATCACAATATATTCGAACTGCAAAGTTAGCGTCCGAAGAATCTTCTCAACAATCTGTTGGTCACCAATAGTGTCACCATTGGCCTTCATTTGATTGACAAGAGCCAATGTTCATGAGAAATAGTCGGAAATGGACTCCGACTTTTCCATTTGAAGGAGCTCAAATTGTCGACGAAGAGTTTGAAGCCGAACCTTCTGGACCTTCTCAACGCCTTTGTATATTTTGATGAGAGAGTCCCAAGCTTCTTTTGTCATTTTCGAATTCGCCACTTTTTCAAAGATTGACGAATCTATCGCTTGAAAGATGTAAAAGAGAGCCTTACGATCTTTCTTGCGATTTTCTTTTATTGTCCTCTGCTCCTCTGTTGTCAAATCCTTCGGCGTTTCTGGCTCCACGAATCCTTCTTCCACAATCTCGGTCAGCTCCTGAAACCCAAATAGCACCTCCATCTGGATCTTCCAATGCTCAAAATTCTTCACATCGAACCTTGGGAGTTGAGGTTGGATCATCCCGGTATCATTCACAGAGGCCATATGACATAAGATTTTCTAAGCCGAATTCACAAAACTCAGCCAAAACTGGCTCTGATATCAAATGTTGGAATAATAAAATTTGGAATTGATATTCTAATATGTCTTGAAGGATTACATAATATTTATAGACCCTTTAGATAACTAAAATAATTAAAAACTATCTTGAAAACAAGCAACAATAAGTAAACATTAATTTCCTCGATAACAATTTCCAAGACTCCAAATCTCTAGATAATAATTGCAAGAATCCAATTCACGAGATGAGCTTGGATTACAAAAAGTCTTTTTTTTTTTATTTCCAACAAGCTAGAACAGGGAGAGGTCGGGGAAGTTGGGGCGGTGGTGGCGAGAGAGGGAGAGCTGGGGTTGAGGGGAGGTCGCGCGGCGGCCGGAGGTGACACGGCGGCGTCGCGGGCGGCGGGGCGAGGTCGGACAAGCTAGCCGGCTGCTCGGCGAAGCCTGACCGCGACGAACGCAGCGGCGAGCTGCTGCTCGCGTGCAGGCCGGCAACAGGTGGTAGCGGGCGACGAGCTGCGGCGCGGCTCGGTCGGGGCGACGGCGGCGCTAGGCGGACGGCGAGGGGCGGTCGGCGACGACGAGCTCGGGCGGCGAGCAGCAATCAGGAAGCCAGATCAGTCGGGCGAAGCAAGAAGAAAGGAAGAAGAAGGAGAGAAGAGGAAGAAAGAAAAAAGAAAAGAAAGAAAGGAAGAGAGAGAAGGGGGAGGGTAGGTCTGCATGGTCAGGGGTGGAGAAAACGTGCGCGAGGGGACGTTGCATGGGGGAGGAGAGAGAGAGAGAGAGAGGACAGGCGCAGGGGGGAGACGTGAGCGCAGTGTGGGCGCGGCAGAGGAGAGAGGAGAGAGAGGGAGAGAGAGAGGGGACAAAAGTCAATTTTTGTCCTCGAGTGCGATCCAACGATCACGATTCGAATTCGAAAATGATCTAACGGTCCATGAAAATCCTAATTAAAAATTAGGAAAAAGGGCCAGAAGATAATAATTAAAACACACTACGAGGTAGATTTACTAGTCCAAATCTGCACCCGGTCAAAATTTTACTTTTCACATATCCCGGGTAATATCGAGGCTAGCCACAATAATATCGACACCATCCAATTAAATTCGTCCTGAAACTTTGAGAAATTCGACATCAAAGTTCGGGCTCTAAATAACGGCCAAATTCGATCAAGTGCGATTCTAGCGAAATCTCTAATTTAAAAAGAAATAACCCAAGAGTGATCAGTTCCGGACGAGATTTTATTATAAGCGCATTGACGAAATACCCGTTTTATAAATCCCAAAAATTGACCGAAATTCGGAATGTCACATATAGCATCACCTCAATTAGAACAGACCATGGAGGAGAGTTCCAGAATCAAAGCTTCTCAGAATATTGTGATGAAAATGGTCTGAATCACAATTTCTCTACTTCCTACACTTCTCAACACAGTGGTGTGGCTGAAAGAAGAAAGCAGTGTTCCTACTTACTTTTGAGCTGATGCTATTGCTGCAGCATGCTATATTATGAGATCATTGTTGGAGAAAACACCCCACGAGATTTTCAAAGGTAGAAAGCCAAATATTTCTTACTTTCACATATTTGGATGCAAATGTTGTATCCTCAAGAATGCCAAAATGTAGATAATTTTGATCTCCAAGTAAGCGAAGGTATTCTTCTTGGTTACTCAACTTCTAGTAGAGCATACGTGTGTTTAACAAAGTATCTCAGGAAGTGAAGACATCCATAAATATCAAGTTCAAGGAAAACTTGAGAGGTGTGCAAGCTGATGATAATGAAGAATCTATGTTGATGCCTGTACCAACTAATGAAATCCATCAACATTAGAAACTTGAAGCACAATGTTCAAAACATACATCTTTACCAAAAGAATAAAAATTCAATACAGATCATCCTAAGGAATAGACCCTTGGAAAGATTGATGAAGGAATCAAAATAAGGTCATCGGTCAAAGATTTGACGACTCCTTGTCACTAATCTTTGAGATCGAATCGATAGGAATTGAAGAAGCTATCATTGAGAAAATTGGATTGGGCCCATGCAAGAAGAGCTATATCAATTCAAGGTCAACGAAGTCTGGAAACTTGTATCACGACCTCAAGATCATATCATCATAGTTACAAAGTGGGTATTTAGAAACAAGCTTGATGATAAAGGTAATATTGTACGTAACAAGGCTAGACTAGTTGCTAAGATTATTCTCAAAAAGAAGATATTGATTATGATGAAACATATGCTCATGTTGCAAAATTCGAAGAAATAAGATTGTAATTAGCTTATGCTCGTTTTCATGATTTCAAACTATATCAAATAAATGTTAAAAGTACTTTTTCTAAAAGGTTATATCAAAAAGCAAGTGTTTGTAGAACAACCACTAGGTTTCGAAGACCCAAACAGGATCAACGATGTATATCGACTGAAGAAGGCGCTCTACGGACTCAAGCAAACACCTAGAGCTTGATATGAGAGACTGAACACATTTTTGGTTGAACATTATTTTGAAAAAGGTAAGGTGGATACAATGCTCTTCATCAAAAGAAAAGATGATGATATTCTGCTAATTCAAATTTACCTTTTTTTTATCGAAATTTTTAAATTTACTTGGATGATATTGTCTATGGATCTACTAATCAGATACTGTGAAAGGAATTTGTTGATATCAAGAAAAATGAGTTCAAATTGAGCACAATAAGAGGACTCAACTTCTTTCTCAGTTTAAAAGTCAAGCAACCAAAAACTGGCACCTCAAGAGAAATATGCCATGGAATTGGTAAAGAAATTTGGACTAGAGAATGCAAGAAAGTGGATACACCAATGTCTCCTACCACCAAAATTGACAAGGATGAAAAAGGTAAGTCCATTGACTCCAAGCTGCATAGAAGCATGATAGGATCTCTATGATAATTAACAACATCTAGGCTCGATATCCTGTTCAGTGTATGCCCATGTGCTTGTATTCAATATGATATGAAGGAATCTCCTTTGACAGTTGTGGAGCGAATTATTAGATATATTGGATCATTTCCAAAGTTAGGTCGATGGTATCCTAAACCTTTCATACATACCATTGCTGGGATATTCGAACATTGACTTTGCAGGGTGCAAAATCGATAGGAAAAGCACCTCTGGCACATGTCAACTAATGGGATGAATGCTAGTTTCGTGGTTTTCAAAGAAGCAAATTTAGTTGCTCTTTCAACCGCTGAAGGTGAGTACATGGCTCAAGAAAGCTATTGTGATCAACTTATGCGGATGAAACAATAAGGGTTAATACAGCGTAAAACCCCAAATTATTACATTTATAATAATTTTACCCCGAATTAATTTTTTGACCACTAAAAAGCCTAAACTGATACACCTGTGATAAACTTACTATCCGCTAGTTTCTATTAAATTTTACCGTCAAATTGCTGAGTTTGATGACACGAGACAGTTAACGGGTGTACCAGTTTGGGTTTTAACCCCTCTGTTTGTCATAGGTTTACTATTTTGTGGTTTTTCGTTGTATTAATCCAATTTAACGAAGGGTAAATTTGCCACAAGTGTACAAGTTTGGGGTTTTTGTTGATTAAAAAATTAGTTTAGGGTAAATTTGTCACATGTGTACCAATTTAGGATTTTTGGGGGTCAAAAAATTAATTCGATGAGTCAGTGTTTGCTGGTTGTAACTTATCTTTGTAATTATTAGTGTAATCCAACCCAACTTGTGGCCTTTAGTCTAGAGAGTGGACGTAGGCGTGGTGGCTAAGCCGAACCGTTATATATTAATGTGTGCTATCTCTACTTCTGCTCTTATTTGATTAATTGCACATTAGCATATCCTGATATTCTTAATATCAGTTTCTCTTGATTTCCAAGTATTAGTTGCTGATATCCGAGAAATCTCTAAACAATCTAATCAGCCCTATCTAGGATGCACAATTAGCCTCAGCAAAAAACACTAGTAAGAAACTCAAATGAGGGTTGGTAATCTAAAAAAATTAGTTGATAATTTAATCAGAACAAAGTTTAAGTCACTCAAATAAAGATTTTCAAATTCATATAGGAGTTAGTAAATACAAGGCGTTACCAAGAAAGATAAATGAAAATGAGTAAAAGATAGGACAAAGTGATAACTTGTAAATTATCAATTAGAGTCATAATTTCATAAAAATATATGTAAGTTATTAATAAATTAACAGGAAATCAGGTAATTAATAACTTCTTTTTTACCAACAGTTTTTTTATACTACCAATTCTTCCATAAATCTACCAACATGGAAAAATGTTCCGTTTTAATTTACATAGAACAATAGAATTGTCCCCCCTGCAAAAAACGATAAAATCAGATCATCAGAGATTCGTCTTACCCTTGGTGATCGCGACACAGTGGGCAAGAAGCGTTTCGCTTGAGCCATTGGTCTATGCAGTGTGCATGGAAGTAATGCGCGCACTCGGGGATAGCCCTAAGCATGTCCTTGGGTTGGTACTCAGACAAGCAAATCACACAAAAATTGTCGTTAGGCCTAGGTACACGTCCTTCATCGTCGACTTGAACCTTTGGATAAGACTCTATTGTGAGCCAATCGAGTCCCATGACACGGTCATCATCGTCATGTTGAGCTCCTCTTAGAGTGTCCGATGGAGACGGATATACATTGTTGTTGTTGTTGTTGTTGTTCTGTACATGTCTTTCACCACGATGCATAGCGACTGGAGCAAGAGACGTAGCAGCTCGAGCACATGATCGGTGGTGACATCCGAACACAAACAAACAAACAATGACAGAAATTGAGATGCCGCGAATTATCCAATACTTGCCCTGTTTTGAAAGCCCTACATGATTATGTAGGATGAATGAAATAGTTGGACCATGAACATCGAAAGAGGATTAATGGTAATTTAACCTATGTGGAGGAAATAGCAAGATGTAAACTTTTGAAAATACTATAGACTGCGGCTAGAGCAAAAACAGTTTGTTTCTTTAGGTGGTCGTCCGCTGTTTATTCATGAATAAATCTCGGAGTACATGAATCAGTAATCTTAGCCAATTCACAAAATGCAGTCATTAATTTCTAGATCACTATATAGTTCATATGTCTCTTAAGGAGTAGTGTTATAGAATATGAGATAATGTGTGATAATTTCTTCCGTCGTACGGCCGAGTTTAATAGAATTTTGCACATCTTGACTTTGTGGTAGAGTCAAATTGGGATGACTGAGCCCGTTCGCTTGACACTATTAACTCTATACAGTTTATTTTAAAGCAAATCGATTGAAAATTTTCAGCTCAAATCAAAACTTTTGCCCGGAAGTGTATTGTGACCCATGCCTTCTAACACAAGGGGTTCTATCGAGACCAAATTGTCAAATGGATCTCATGCGTCGTGGACCAAGATGGCTCAATTAGGTACGTTTCGTTCGAATTTGTTGTCAAGACGTTCTACACGAAACACATCGTACATACCATGTTTGTGGATGCATCCAAAATCGGAGTCCGTCGAACCTTTGGGTCCGCACCTGCCCCCACTTGCCTCGCACAACCGACACTCAGGCAGGTCCCATGTCAACGAAATACTATCTTCGGAGAACAGCCACCCCATCGGGACGGAGACCGTTCAAGTGCTGCATCCGCGTTTTGAAAAGTACTGGGTCGCGAAATCATCCGCGAACCCGAACATGACCGTGTATTGTTCCCCGCTGAGACAGCTCACGCGATGGTTCCCAAACTCATCTGAGAAGTCCACAGAGCAATTGGCCAACACAAAGCTCTCGTAATACGGCACCACGAGGAGCGAGCTCGAGAACGTCGAGCTTGTGAGCCGCTTCGGAAGGCAATTGTCCGGATCCTTGAGCGAAACATATCGTTGCTTGTAGTCAATGCTATCGACGACGAAGTTTTGCAAGTTGGGCAATTGGATGATCGCTCAGCTTCGGTTGTCGCACGAGAGAACCAACCCAGGATAGCCACAACGTTCATCTTGGACATTCCTGATCCGGAAAGGGAAGCGGATGGGAGGTCCGGCCAGCCGACAACAATTTACCCGGCAGACATTACTGGGACTATCCGCAGATAAGTGGGAAAACGAGAGGAGGAACAAAGAGAAGACGAAGGCCGAGAAAGCCATGAGAGGTGCACAGCGGATGGTACGAGGACTGTGATTGTGTATGGATTAATATTCTTGCCTTCGATCTTTTTAAAACATTTGTTTCCCTTTCCAAGATGAACTTTTATCCAACACATACCTGCTCAAGGAAGGCGTAGAATTTGGCTGGTCTATTTGGCCGGCTTACGTCAAATGGATGGGGATATGTAGGTCCTAGCGAAGTTGAAATTGAACTACTAGAGAGGAAAAGGCCAAACGGGCGTGTTGCTTTAGATGTGCAATATAGAATTGTGAGACGTTGCTTCGTTCTTATCAAGACATGCCAATAAATCACCTCCTTTTGAGGTCCAAAATCTTATTGTAACTTACATTAGAAGAGTAGCACTGGTGGAACTAGAGAATGCCTCATAACTTATAGGTTGATTGTGATGATTGTGATTTAATTTATCTATGTTTATAATTCCATTCATTATTTACCAAAAAAAAAATCATATTGTGTCGAATGATCCCCTTAGAATTATACTTTTGGGATTTGTACCCTTGTTAGTGAATTGACATTTACAATTTACTTTCCTGAGAGGTTGCCACGACATATTGAAGAGATCCCGTGTAGATGTAGATATAAGATTATAATGATTAGAGACTAGAGGCCTTGTGATCACGGCATAGAGGACAAGAAGCATTTCTCTTGAGCCACTGGTCTATGCAATGAGCATGGAAGTAGTGGGCACATTCGGCGAGAGTCCTAAGCATGTCCTTGGGTTGGTACTCAGATAAGCAAATCGCACAGATATTGTCGTTAGGCCTAGGTACACGTCCTTCATCATCGACTTGAATCTTCGGATAAGGCTCTATCATGAGCCAATCTGAGTCCCATCACACGGCCATCATCGTCATGTTGAGCTCCTCTCAAAGCGTCCAAAGGAGACGGATATATGTTGTTGTTGTTCCATACATGTCTTTGACGGCGATGCCTAGCGACTAGAGCAAGAGACGTAGCAACTCAAGCACGTGAAAAGTGGTGAAATCTGAATCCGAACAAACAAACAATGACGGAAATTGAGATGCCGCGATTTATCCAATACTTGGCATGTTTTGAAAGCCCTACATGATTATGTATGAGGAATGAAATAGTCGGACCATGAATCGAAAGATGATTGATGGTAATTTAACCTATGTAGGGGAAATTAGCAAGATTTAAATTTTTGAAAATACAATAGACTGCGGCTAGAGAAAAAAGGATTGTTTCTTTAGGTGGTCGTCCGCTGTTTGTTCATGAATAAACCTCGGAATGCACGAATTAGGAGAAATATGAGATAATGGGTGATAATTTTCTTGCGTCGTACGGTCGAGTTTTATAGAATTTGGCACATCTTGACTTCGTGGTAAAGTCGACTTGGGATGGATGAGCCCGTTAGATTGACACTATTAACTCTATACAGTTTATTGCAAAGCAAATCGATTGAAAATTTTCAGCTTAAATCAAAACTTTTGGCCGGAAGTGTATCGTTACCCATTCCTTCTATTCCTAACCCATGGGGATCTATTGAGAAAAAGTCGTCAAATGGATGTCATGCGTCGTGGACCATGGCTCAATCAGGTCGGTATGTGTCGTTCGAAGTTGTTATCTAGACATCCCAAACGAAACACACCATACATACCATGTTTGTGGAAGCATCCAAAATCGAAGCCTGTCGAACCTTTGGCCCGCACCTGTCACCACTTGCCTCGCACAACCCACGACCAGGCTGATCGGAGAAGAAGGTAGCCGAGGTAGCAATGAGAGGTGCTCCGAGCATTGTGTTCGTGTATGAGTTAAGATCGATGCCTTTGATTTTTATTTTTTTTGAAATATTTGTTTCCTTGTCGAGGTTTGACTTCTATCTAACGTCCGTCTACCTTCTCCGGCGTACGACAAATGGATGGGGATCTGTAGGTCCTAGCGAAGTTGTAATTCAACTAATTCAAAGGAAAACGCCAAACAAACGGTCATGTTGTTTCAATGTACAAATAACATAGAATTGCAACATATGGCCTGGTTCAAATGTACAAATAACATAGAATTGCAACAATAGGTTAGACATCTTAAACCATTCTAATCTTCTCTAGACTCTTTAATCTTCATATTTTAATGTTGACTCGTCGGATGGTTAGCCATTAACGACGAAAATCTTCATCTTTTATGACTTCAATTGACTGTTTCATAAGCTGAAATATACCTATCTAGGGATGAAAAAATGGCCAGCGGAAGTGCTATGCAGGATGGAGGTGGAGCATAAGTTTCGAGAGACTAGCACGTACGTAATTACTTACGACGCACTAATTAAGAAGGATCATATGGGCGAGTTGCAAAGTCTTAGTGTATTTATATTAGCAGTGTGGTACTAGTGGAACTAGAAAATGCCTTATAATTTAGGCTCCGTTTGTTTTGTGGAAAATGAATAACCTGAAAAATATTTACCTAAAAACGAGATTGCTCTTATATCACTTACAAAAATGAATAAACAAGAAACATTTTCGTTATCCATGAAAATGTCGAGACATAAATCGTATATAAGCGACCGTTTTTAAGAAAATGTTTTCCAAATCATTCATTTTCCGTGAAACAACATAAACCGTATAGGCAGATTACGATGATTGTGATTTTATCTAGCTTTATTATTTCATTCATTATTTAGCAAAAGAAAATCATACTGTTTCGAACCATCCTCTTAGATTTATACTTCTGGGATTTGGCCCTTGTGAGTGAATTGACATCTACAATTTACTTTCTTGAGAGATTGCCACAACATATTGAAGAGATTTAGTGATTGGTATACTTACAACTTACCATGAAAATATACACAAAAGCAGAAAATATATGGTGATGATTAGAGACTAGAGGCCTTGTGATTACGGCATAGAGGGCACGAAGCATTTCTCTTGAGCCACTGGTCAATGCAATGAGCATGGAAGTAGTGTGCACACTAGGGGATGGTCACGAGTGTCTCCTTGGACTGGTACTCCGACAGGCAATCGCGCAAATGTTGTCTTTGGGCCTAGGCACTTGTCCCGGATCATCGATTTGAGCCTTCGGATACGATTCTAACGTGGCCAAGTCGATGCCCTTGGCACCACCGGCGGCATGTTGGGTATTTCCCGCGTCACCGGAATGAGATAAATTCGTGCCGTCGTTGCCATTGTGGCTCTGATGACAAGATCTGTTGGCTCGAGTGCGAAGGTAGCAGGCACTTCCCAAGACGCAGAAGAACGAGGGTGATATGGCGATCCACACTATCACGAGCCTTATGCGTTTCGAAAACTCTAGATATAATCACAGATCATGGATCAATCAATTAAACTTGAAATGTTAGAAAAACATCGACGATCAATAATCGGCAATCGGTAACTATTTCAAAAAAGTAGTGCTAACACATCATATTCATAGGGTTAATATTTAGGATCATTACGGATATTATACAAAATTGATTTGTAAAATAATGTGACTAGTGAATACTCAAGTAAATGAGTCCTACATTACTTTAAAAACTGGTTTTCCGCAATAGTCCTAATATTCTAGGTTTCCTCTGGCATTCCAAGCAAAAACTTGTTAAGTCCCGGTTTACATAGATCAATATATTCAACTGTTGTAACGATATGTATGAATGTATAATCTAGAAGCAAAGTCCTTCACAAGCTAATCAAGGACTAGGGAAAGTACATCCTACTTGTTTAGAGATTTTCCTTTTCTACGCCAATATGACTTAGACAATGCGTCTTGTGAACATCATACGCATGTAAACTCGATTGGATACATATATGGAAATAATATAGATATTTGCAATTCACAGATCAGAAAGAAGAGCGGTTGAAGTAACCATCCAACCAAGGATGGAGGAAAACACAGACGCCCGGCTTATTGTTATGATCATTCCGTTGATTAAAATATATAAGCTTGATAATCAATAGTTTTCGTGTATCCTACATTGGTAGCATACCTTGATAGTGGGCACATTTAACTACCGATGAGCCGTTGTCACTCTTGAGCCCACATCTCCCACCCATCGCTTCACAACTTCTACAATCCGGCCGATCCCATTTCAACCAGACACCCTCGGTTATGTTCTCCCTAAAGCTCACCGTCTCCGGAACCAACACCGTCCAAGTATAGCACCTATGATCGGAGAACAACCATCTAGCGAGGAGATCATCTGTGGAAGCGACCACCGCCATGTGGCCCGCCCCATCGAGACAATCGACGCATGTGATCAAAGTTCCCGGCAGGTCCGTGGGCAGATTCCATGTGCAATTGGCGAGCGTGAAGTTCTCGTATGCTGCGGCCAAGAAGGGCGATGACGCAGAGGCCAGGTCGGAGCTGAAGCTCCGGGTTGCCAGTAGGCGCTTCGGAAGGCAACCATCGGGGTCCCCGAGCGAAATCAATTGGTCTGCATAACCGATCGACCTCACGACAAGGTCGCCGGAGTGAGGCAAGTGGAGGATCGCTTGGCCTTGGTTGTCGCATGAGATTTCAAATCCCGGATAGCTGCAGCATTCGTCCTGAAGGCCCCTGATTCGGAACGGGAGGCGGATCGAGGGTCCGTTGGGATTGCAAGACGACGTCGGGCAGAGAACACGAGGTTTGTCCGAGGTGACGAGGACTAGAAGGACGAGGAAGGAAGACGAGAAGAGCAGGAAGATTGCGGAGGACGCCATAAGAAGGGAGGTGACATGGTGGAGAGTACAAGGGATTGTAAAATAGGGAATGCGGGATTTGTTTTCTCCAATCGCAGGATGGATGGGGACATGGAGGTTCTTACAAGAGCAAATGTCAAAATGTGGAGACCACGGTGACATGTACGTGGGACAAGACATTTTGGTTTTCTTTTATCAAGACCAGTCAACGAGGTCACTGTACAAGAAAGAGTCACGTCCTGTAAAAATTGTACGTGACTATGTGTTCATCTTATAGAATATTACTTGTGGCAGATAAGGGATTTATGTAGTTTATCTTTTACTTCAAGCCGTTTTGTTGCTTATATTATTTTGCTGTAAAAAATAAAACAAAAAAAAGGAACATAGAACTTGGAATCGGATCAGACAAGGTAGGTTCCAAGGCAAACAATATAAATTTTAGGTTCCAAAAATTGGGAACCTATTATAATAAGGTAGGTTACAGGTTTCAAGTTTGGAACTTACCCACCTTGCAATCAACCACCGTTAGTCCCATAAAGTTGTAATTGAACTATATATAACGGAAAAGGCCAAACGGTCATGGGGTTTCGAACGTACAATATAAAATTACATGTTACTTTGTTCTTATTGGGGTATATTGGGTGCGCTCATCAGAAATCCAATACCTTTACCTAGGGAAAACGCTTACAAGAAAGCCAAATCCAAGTTCATTAATGTATCTTGTTGGACCAACTTTCACCGAAAAGCTTAAACCAATGAGATATTGGCTAATTAAAATATATTCACTACTTTGGCCCAAACCAATTTTTTGATATGGGATTTTTTTTAATACGAGTGGCACGTGCATCTCAACAATGAAATTTTCATCTTTTATAAGGTTAATAGAGCGCTTCGTAAGCTAAAATATTTCTATTTAAGGACGAAAAAAATGGCCAGTCAAAATTTGCCTAAAAGAATAACCAATTGAAGTACTCTGTCGCATGGTGGTGAAGCTGAAGCATAATTTTAGATATGTACATAAGAGGCACTAACTAAGAAGTATTACATGGGGCATCCTTTCAAATCACTGCCTTTTGAGGTCTAAAATCTTATTGTAACTAATATTAGCGGAGTAGGACTAGGGGAACTAGAGAATGTCTCGTAACTTATAGGTTGATTGGGATGATTGTGTGATTTTATCCAGCTATGTTTGTAATTTCATGCATTATTTACCATATGAAAACCATATTTATCAAAGGATCCTCTTTAATTCTGGGATTCGGACCCTTGTTAGTGAACTGTCATATACAATTTGCTTAATTCCAAAAAAAAAAAAAGCACAAACTTTACCTTGAGTGATAATTCTGGCTCAAACTTTTTTTATCTTGTAATAAATCACAAACTTTCACTTAAATCTCAAATCTGGCTCGAACAATTTGAAAATTTTACATCACAGGGGCCAGATTTGGGATTTGAGTACTAGAATTCACTCAAGGTAAAGTTGATGCTTTTTTTTTTTTTTGAATTAGACAACTTACCATGAAAATATACACAAATGCAGAAAAATTGCCAAGTAATACTATAATTCCATCGTACAATTTTAATTTTAAATCTCCCTCGTTATTATCATGTAGATGTAGACATAAGGTTATGATTGGAGGCTAGAAGCCTTATGATTACGGCATAGAGGGCAAGAAGCATTTTTCTTGAGCCACTGGTCTATGCAATGAGCATGGAAGTAGTGTGCACACTCAGGGATGGTCCTGAGTGTCTCCTTGGGCTGGTATTCCGACAAGCAAATTGCGCAAAGGTCATCGTTCGGCCTAGGCACTTGTCCTAGATCATCAATTTGAGCCTTCGGATACGATTCCAACGTGGCCAAGTCGATGCCCATGGCACCATCAATGGCATGAGGTGGATATGTGTTGCTGTTGCCATCGTGGCTCAGATGACGAGGTCTGTTGGCTCGAGTGATGAGGTAACAAACACTTCCAAAGAGACAGAAGAAAAAGGCTGATAGGGCGATCGTCATTATCACAAACTTTACGCCTTCTGAAAGTTCTATATATAATCACATATCATGATTCGATCAATTGAATTTGAAATGTCAGAAAAACATCAATAATCAATGATCAGTAATTGGTTAGTATCTCGAAAAATGTATTGCTAGCACATTATATTCTCAAGGTTATTATCAATAGCATACAAAATTGATTTACAAAAATTAGTCAAAGTCCTGGTTTACATAGATCGGATATATTGAACTGTTGCAATGTATATGCGTGGTATGCATCATCTAAAAGCAAAGTCCAACATAAGTTGATTAAGGCTTAGGCAAAGTACATTCTACTTGTTAAGAGATTTTTCTTCTCTACCCCAACATAATTCTGATTGGCTAATTACAAGTTTTGAACATCATACACAGTTAAACTTAATTAGATGTAATGCCCGTATTTACAATTCACCATTCAAAAAGAAACGCGGTTGGACAAAGCTTAGCTCCTCCTATCATCCAACCAAGGATGGAGCAAAACATAGACCTTCTTATTATGATAAATTCATTGATTAAGACATATAAGCTTGATTAATAGTTGTCCTTTGTCATAAGTAGCATACCTTTTGTGTCCTTTGTCATAGTTGTCCTTTTGTGGGCACATTGAACTTCCGATGACCCGTTGCCACTCGAGCCCACATATCCCACCGGTAGCTTCACAATCTCTGCAATCCGGCCAATCCCATTTTAACCAAACACCCACGGTTATATCCTCCGCTAAGGTCAGCGCCTCCGGAACTAACATCGTCCAGGTATCGCACCACCCGAAATCGGACATCGCCTTTCTAGAGACATAATCTTCTGTGGGCGCGACCACAACCATGTGGTCCGCCCCTTCAAGACAAGCGACGCGTGTGATCCCAGTTCACAGTAGGTCCGCGGGTAAATCCCATGTGCAATTGGCGAATGTGAACTTCCCGTGCGCCTCGGCTAAGAAGGGAGATGACGCGGACGCCAGGTCGGAGCTGAAGCTTTGGGTCGCCAATAGGCGCTTCAAGAGGCAACCTTCAAGGTCCCCGAGCAAAACCAATTGATCCGCATAATCAATCGACTTCACAAAGAGGTCGCCAGAGTGAGGCCAATGGAGGATTGCTTGGCCTTGGTTGTCGCACGAGATTTCGAATCCTGGATAGCCGCAGCGCTCATCCTGGAGGCCTCTGATTCGGAACGGGAAGCGGATTGGGGGTCCTTTGCGATTGCAATGCGACTTTCGACAGAGAGTGTTGTAAAATTTGAATGGCTTCGAATCAAAAAGCAATCAAGTCGGACTTTGAGGGGTGATATCACTTTCCTTAAGGATTTATTTGCCCCACAATTGTTGCTAATGGTCATCGGCAAAAATCCTCCAGGATACAACAAAGTCTCAAATGAGAATACTAGGGTCTCTCTAGGAAACAAAAGAAATGATGACCGTAGTTTTCGAAAGAAGACTTGAAGAAATTGATCTCTCTTTTCTTTCTTGCCAAAAACTGACATATATAGAAATCGGTCTTAAAGAACATTGGCAACTCTTCACGAAAGGTTGCAAAGCTAACAAAGATATTCCTTCGGAAGAAGTTGCAAACTGAATAGATGCAACCCTTCGGAAAAGATTGAAAACTGAACAAGTATAATCTCCAAAAGTTGTCTTGGAAAGACACATGTAAAATTCGGAATAAAATAAATAAATATATAATTCCGAATTTTCATAATTTCGAAAATTACTTAATAAACAAAAAAACAACCTTTCAAATAATAAAAATTAATAAGATAACCTTACGAAATAAAATAAAAAAAAAATGTAAAGGGATTAAGTGCGCCAAAATCGCGCAATTATTCGCACACCCGCACGCGGGTATTGTGTGGACTAGCACACACCCCATTGTCTTCACTCTAAAGAGAAAGAAGATATTCACAGTTATAAAGTGGCCCACTTTCTCAAAATTTTCCTACGTGGGACAAAGAAAAATGCACTATTTTGTTTGTTTTACAAACAAACAACCAACAGAGAGTGCCGGGCTTATCCACGGCGACGCGGACTAGAAGGAGAAGGAAGGCAAACCAGAAGAGTAAGATGATTTCGGAGGACGCCATGCGAAGGGAGGTGAAATGGTGGAGAGTACGAGGGATCGTGAAATAGGGAAGGCGAGCTTTGTTCACTTCAATTGCCAGATGGATGGGGACATGGAAGTTCTTACAAGCACATATGTTAAAATGTGGAGAGCATGGTGTTATGTACATGGTACAAGACATTTTGGTTTTGCTTTATCGAGACAAGTTGATGCAGGCCAGATTGATAATGCCGCCCGCATCGAAGACGAGCTCACTCGACCAAGGAGATCAGCCCGCATCCGAGCTCGACAAGTCGCTCGACCAGTCTTGAAGATATCGAAGGGACGCAATTCGAAGACCAAGACTCTCATCCGCGAGTCCATGCCACAATAAAGTCCTTGTCTTTCCCTATACATTGGAAGCCTAAAAGATACTTTGGGATGATCAAGAAGACGTTGGGCATTTATCTAGTTTCTAGTTTCTAAGTTCTTTAATGTTTTATGCCTTCTAGGGTCTTTAATGCTCTTTAGTCTCTTCATTTGCTTGAGTCTTTTCATTTGTTTTTCTTTGGCTATAAAAGACCATCTACTTTATGTATTCGACAGACGAATTTGATTAATGAAAATTTTGCATCAAGCAATTATCTTGAACCTTGAAGAGATCATACCCCTGAAAACCTAGAAGAGTTTTCACTCCGTCCTTGAAGAGTTGGAGGTTTTCAAATCTGCATCCTTAAAGAGTTGCAGTCATCGATCTAGAAGAATCGGTGCCCTATCCACTTCCTTGGAGGCCTGGAAGAGCAACCAACGAAGTTCTATCTTTTCCTCTGTTCTGTCCATTTACATCCGTCCACTTCCACCCCGATTTCGTCCTTCCTATAGTGCTTATTTGAGAAAACTCAAAACAGAGAAATTGTTAATCCAGAAGTCTTTGTTCATTTGGCTTTGGAATCAGGTCA